TAGGAAAAAAGGTGGCCGCCGGACCTCCATGATCCGGCGGCTTGATGTCACAGCGTGCAGGGGCTCCTCCTTGACGCGTTTCGTACTACAAGTACATTATCAAAAGGGGTATGCCATGGCATGGAGGTCCGGCGGACACCTTTTTTTTACCGGCTGGTCAGTTTGAATTCATGCAATTTTCATTATATTGCTCCGTTACTTGCACTGCAACAAATGTATGTTTCTGGATTGTATCCTCTTACTAATTAGTATCATTAAAGTATCATTTTAAATACTACACTATAGGAATATCCCTTTTCTTTGCTCTGCACCGAGCACTTTAATTCCTCAGTGATCCCCAGTGAATATCCCACTGCCTGAAAGAGGTTGATCCATATATCCTGGCTTGCCAATATCCTGTAAACTAAGGAAGGCCACCCACTCCCAGGCTACACCCCGGACCACCCTAAGAAGGGATCCCTGACCGACCAACAGTATATGATACAACACGCTTTATATAAGCGCATCTGGTGAGTGTGCATTTTATATATCTATCTGCACACCCACCTGAGGATTTTCTTGTATACTGGGATTCAACACAGTCACCTGGCGATTAGTTTGACGATTGTTTTATCGATATTCTATTGACATTTCATGTTTTAAACGCATTTTAAATGCATGTGTGTTTTACTTAACCTCCCTAGCGGTCTGATTATGTTTATATTTCTGTGCTCATTTTTTTGCATGGAAATATGTATTTTTTTTTTATTGTAGTCCTGTAATTTTTAGTAACAACTCACTGAAATCTGTTCGAACAAGAGTCTAGTAAACATCCCGGGTATGATAAAATTTGAAACACGAAATCATAAATTAGAATTTAATAAATAATCATAAAAATAATAATAAATTTAATTCAATAATATAATCAAACCAAAAACACTGAATTTTGAAATATAGTTCAAACTTCGCACATCACTGAGCAAATTCGCAAAATCGTTTTCAATGTCTGATGACGAATTTCCCCCACGAATCATTATCACTCAATTCTGCAAGTGGTTCTGATTTACTATCGCTGTTCTCTAGCCGGTCTAAAACCGATTTTGACCTAAAGGGACGCTTTTTGTACGCCATGGACTTTTCTCAGTTTCCAGGCAGAAAGAACAGTAAAAATGCAGGCAGGGCGCCGGAAAAGCACTCGGGACAAAATGTATGTGAAATGGTTTGATACAGGAATGTTATACTATGTGATTTTAGTGAATTTAGTGAATGTCACTTTTTGTTATTTTCAAATTTCCCGCCGCTCCTTACCACGTACGTCCCGACGTCGCAGGGGACGGAACCCAGAAGACAGATGCCGGCATCCGCCGGAGGACATTACAGGGGACACTGCAGGAGGGAGTGCAGGACAAGGTAAGTGAAGAACAGATCCCGGAGCAGAGCCGCATGGTAAGTCCGAGTGTAGCTCAGGGTTACCGCTTGTGGTACTGAAACTTTACCCCGAGCTACACTCGGGAATACCACCAGGGAGGCTACAAACTATTTTATATGTGGGGAGACTCCATGTGTTTATGAACATTTTTGTGAGCAGTTTTATGGTTAAAACGCACTTACTACTTATGTGCATTTTTTTATAAGATTTCTTTTGGTATATTATTTCTTAGTTCTGCACTACTTTTACAGACTAATGTGAGCTTGATCTCTCTCCTTATGAAAAAATACAACATAAATCCCCAATCTTTGCTTATGAAAATCCTAACTATAGATCAGGTAATTGGTCTGTTTCCATTGACCTTGCTGCATGGGTATGTGCACCCCCCCATTCATGAAGTAAGTAGTGTATTTGCCAGATATGGAAACTTCCATAAGCAGATTAATATAGCAGGCAGTTGAGTTTATATAAGATTTTGGAATGTGGCTGCAAGAATTTGTGGCCATTCAGCCAAAAAGCATTTGCGAGGTCATGTCTTGATGTTGGATGAGAAGACCTTGTTCACATATGACATTGCAATGCATCCCAAAGGTGTTCATTGGGGTTGAGGTCAGGGCTCTGTGCAGACCACTCGAGTTCCTCCATACCAACATCATCAAACCTTGTCTTTATGGAGCTGGCTTTATGCTCAGTGCTGGAACAGAAAAGGGTCTTCACCAAACTGTTACCACAAGGTTAGAAGAGCACAGTTGTCAGAGATGTCTTTGCATGCTACAGCATTAACAGTACTCTTCAGTGGAAACATCTGAACCAGGGGCGGACTGACCATTTGGAAACCCGGGCACCGCCCGAGGGTCTGGGGTCAGTAGGGGGCCCCATGAGATGACCCTGGTACCTTTTTCATAGGATTTTTTTACTTTGGGCAAGGACACAGGGGCCCCATGATCCCCTATTGCCCGGGGGCCCCATGAGTTGTCAGTCCGCCCCTGATCTGAACTCATCATTTGGAGGAGTGTCAACTTACTTTTGCCATAAAGTAGGTGTGATAATCAGTTTTCCACAACTGTTTGGCTATATAGTGCACTAGAAAGCATACTTAAATGAAATGCTATACCTAATGAACTGAACAACCATATTATGTAATAATGCTACTACCAATAATTGTATTCATTGTGTAAAATATTTATAACACTATGCAGTATAATGTTTTTTCAGTTCCCTGTCATAATTACAAAATTCTAGGATATGCGCTATTGCTATAATCCTAGACATTGTGCCAAACCAGGGGCGGACTGACCATTTGGAAACTCAGGCACTGCCCGAGGGCCCGGGGTCAGTAGGGGGCCCCATGAGATGCCCCTGGTACCTTTTTCATAGACTTTTTTGTTTGGGCAAGGACACAGGGGCCCCATGATCCCCTCTTTCCTGGGGGCCCCATGAGTTGTCAGTCCGCCCCTGTGCCAAACCACAAATCGAGGTAGACGTTACATCCTCTTGTGCTGTTACTTGTTATATTAAAGTAAAACTGAATAAAAAAAAGTGAAGGTTTACCAAGAAGTATCCCAAAATATGTATTCAGGTAATGCTGCCTTTGACTGCTAGTCTCAGAAGTGCAAAACAAGGCATGGCGAGTCAGTAATGTGGAATAGATCAGCTGTAAGGAGACCACAGGTATTACTGTTGACTAGTCCTTTACCCTCTGCCTGCCTTTTATTGGGCACCGCATCCATACTTCAGTTGCCCCTAAAGCCTAAGTTTAAAGTGCTTTAAAGTGGTTGTAAAGGCTCAAGGTTTTTTACCTTCAAACATTCTATGCATTGAAGTAAAAAAACCTTCTGTGTGCAGAAGCCCCCCCCCCCCCCCAGCCCAATCAATACTTACCTGAGACCCATCCCAATCCAGCAATGTGTATGAGAGCCTCAGCTCTCAGGGAACTCTCCATCCTTATTAGATGTGACAGCAGAGGGAGTTACTGGCTCCTGCTGCTGTCAATCACAGTCAGTGAGCCAATGAGGAGAGGGAGGGGTGAAGCAGTGGCTCTGTATGTGAATGGACACACGGAGCAGTGGCTTGATAGCAAGCCTGCTTGGGTGCCTCCATAGCAAGATGCTTACTATGGGGGCACCTGGCAGGAGGGAAGGGCCCAGAGAGCTGGCAGGGAACCCAAAAAGAGAAAGATTGGGGTTGCTCTGTGCAAAACCCCTGCACTGAGCAGGTGAGTATGGCATGTTTGCTATTTTTGTTAATTGCCTTTAATATCACTTTAAGCTGACCATAGATTACCATAGATGACCATAGATGGATCAAAATTCGGCTGGTTAAGCAAGGACCGGCTGAATTTTGGGTCTATGTATGGGCAGGCTGATTATACAGAAGTCGACCTCTCGATCAACTTCTGTACAACCAGCCTGTTGCAAAATTTTTGTCAGTGGTGCTAATGATTGTCCCTGCTGTCAGAATATGATAGCTCCATAGGAGGGATTCGCCCATCCATTTTGAATGTGTGGATGGGGGAATTGACACTTTATTTTGTTCCACAGCTAGTTGAATGAAAGGAAATGAAACATATTTGTCTAGTCTTAGTCAAATTGAAAACTATTAGTTGAAATTCAAAGTCCTCCACCCCCCTTCCCTTTCATCCCCCGAGCCATAATCTTCGAGTGCTGTAGAGGTTAATATGATCACTGAACCTTACCAAGGGTCCTGACTATGCCCCTATTTTCCATCTCCCTTCTCTATTCACAGAAGCTGTACTATAGCTTCCATCAATTAAAAGCACTTTGTGGATGAAGGAGAAGGACTTTTCATTCATCCACCCATCCTCCATTCATAAAATCATGGAAGCTACAGTACGGCTTCTATAAATGTGTGTGTGGGGGAAGGGTGGGCACTCTTGGTGATGCCAAGGTCCAGAGCTCAAATTATCCCCCACAGCACTGGAAGATTACCGATGTGGGGTAATGGGGGGGAGAACTTTGGATTTCAACTCCTACACCAGCCAGCAGCACAAGGGACACTTCTCAATGAATATAAGTACCGTCCCTTGTACTGATTTAAAAAAAATACTTTTTGAATAAACTTAGGCTTTTAGGAATGAATATGATATGGACACTGTTGTAAGGGGAGCAATAATAAAGAGGAAATTGTGTTAGACAAGCATTAAACCTAAAAAGAAGAACCAAAGGATGTGATCAGTATCTGACTTGAAGGCCTGAAAAGGGGGCAGCAAATAATGTATTTTATTAAAATCCTGGAAGAGGAGAAATTCACAATGCCATAGGCGTATATTTGTGCTCGAGAAGGATGATGGGTGTCTTTGATAATGTTTGTGTGGTAGACAGTTGGCTCCATTTCTTTCAACTTTATTGTGAAATCCCTGCTGTGTTTTCTTGAAAACTGTATGAAGCGGGCTTAATATGACCCATAAACAATTGCTGCTTTCAATCACTCTTCTATTATTTATTAGAAGATGGCTATGTTCACTGTGAGCCACGATTCAATTCACATTTTTTTCATGTGCTTCATATTTTCTTCTTTTTGAGAATATATCTATCATATGCAGGGCGGACAGACCATTCGGGTGCTCGGGCACTGTCCGAGGGCCCAGGGTCAGTAGGGGGCCCCATGAAATGCCCCTGCTAACTTTCATAGGCTTTTTTGGGCGTGGGTGAGGACACAGGGGCCCCATGATCCCCTATTGCCTGGGGGCCCCATGAGTTGTCAGTCCACCCCTGATCACATGCAATCAGCCAAGAGACACCAATGGTGATCAGCATACATGAGTTGAAGGTATATCTTTTTCATATAAAGCTGGACTCAATGCAAACAGGTAAACATTCACAACAAAAATACATAGGAGGAGATTTATTAGAACTGGAGCACGGGTGCAGCTGTGCATGGTAGCCAATCAGTTTCTAACTTCAGCTTGTTCAATTAAAATTTGGTAATAAAACCTGGAAGCTGATGGTTTCTATGCAGAGCTGCAGCAGATTTTGCACCATGCAGTTTTAGTAAGAATCTTCATAATGTGAAAGTGCTATGCCATGCCACTGGATTGAAATAGGCAAATATGGCACTGGGTTCTCAAGGGTGCAGATTGAGGGGCTTCATAAGATCTGTTTAGAACATCAAAAGCGTTTGTTTTTGGTATTCAGAGTTTTATAACTCCCAGATTGAGGTTTGGAGTCCTGAGGCTTCAAAGAGCTTTGGGATGGAGGACGTTTCTACCCCTGTTCCAGGTTTTCCCTAAGACCAGCAGTGGTCTGATGGTCGTATCAGGACATGGGCCAGTGCAGAAGAGAGCTTTGAGAAAGCTGATAGTACAGAGCAGAGGTTGCATAGGAGCACAACAGTACTGTGAGTTGGTATTGTGATGGATATGGTAAAATGCCTACTTGGTTTCCTATTGAATATATACATATTTCTACACATTTTATTCGTATCTACTTTTATAATTTAATACTTTTTTATATTTCTAAATGTTTTGTATGAATATATATATATATATATATATATATATATATATGTGGGGTTAGCTCAGATGGGGGATCTCCTTCCTGGGACAAAGGTAGACCGCACAGCAGGCTTTCATCAAAATCTGACTGGTTGTCAGCTTTATTTAAAAGGTTTGCAGAAAATAAACAAAACATGAAAATAAACCCTTGCCATCCAGGCACTAACTAAACCAAAGGCGTTTCCTCTCTCAGAGGTGAAGGGCTTCTCCCTGTCACCGAAATAAAACAAAAGCAAAACCTTTTCTTGTAGGTATAGTACACACACAGCTCTCTCAGAACACCTCTCTGAGTCCAGGCCACGAGCAACTCCT